CTCTGAAACACATTGTGACAGAGAACTCTGTCACTAGGCATGGGTAACACAGGAAAATCACACAAACACACATTTTTCACCAACCACTTGCTAGCTAGCTCCTGAGGGTGCACACTTGGCTTGGCTGGTTGCTGCTGTTGTGTGTCAATTCATTAACGTGAGGCACAGTGGGACCCAGATACATACATAAGCATACTGTATATGCTTGGTGATTATATTGTCTATTTTTATGTTGCTATCGTGTGAATGGAGAGCAGTCTCAATTTGTGTGGTACTGTACTTACTGTTTGCTTGCTGTTCAAGACCTCAAGTTTGTGTCATAGTGTCAGCCTACGGTGGCTCCAAAGGTCCAAACCTAACCCCTACTTCTAAAGGCATATTTATAGGAAAAACCACTCACATGTTTCAATGGGAAGATTCTATTTTCTACTTTTACTTGGTGAAAGTGTAAAAGAGAAGCAGTAAAATGTTTTTTTTTTCTTCTTCTTTTGTTTTGGAAATCACTGTGATCAGACTGAATGAATTATTGTGAAATATTTTGTGTGTAAAATTAAAGATAATTAGGATAAGACTTGATTCCAGGGGATGGAGGGCCCCCCCAAAGGATATAAGCTGGTCCTCAGCCTAGAAGGTTCACTGGATGTTCTGGAATGAAGGATTAAGAGTGTCAGAGTACGTATGTAGAGGTCTAGCTTTATATATCTGACTTCTTGTTGTTTCATGTTTTAAGAGCTGTTTTTTTGTAAATCTTTTGTATTTTTTTTGTTGGGAAGAAGAGCACTGTAAATAAATTGCACTTTGATGTATCTGAGCGCTTTACAGCGGTGCCATCGTTTGGGGAAAAGGACCTGCTTGGGCCATCACTTGGGCCATCTTGTGACACTCATGGATTGTAAATAGCTGTATTTCTAGTAACCACTGTACTGTATGTACTGCTTAGTCGTGTTATTTTATTGTTAATAAATATTTGTCTTTTCAGTTTTAACCCTTTATTACCCTAACACCAAAGGTGTGCAAGTGAATTAAAAAAATAATGTGCCTTACATTTAACTATCACTCGTATCACTTGACACGCTATTTTGTAAAAATATGAAATCTAATGTTTTTGTTGTGTAATTGCAGTGATTAGCACAGATTTCTTTCCATTATTTTATTTAGAGAGTACACTTAGATAACATAACTTATCAGGGTAACCATTTCAGTCCTTAATTGTCACCTCTTTTGACTTAGGATGAAGACAAAAAACACATTACAGATAGTCTCTTTTTTTAGTTTCATTATTGGTACAATATATTTTCCAGCTGGTTAGTAACATAAACAAAAGGATCAAAAGAAAAATACAGAGCAAACTACGCTTAGTAATGTTAAAGAGCGGGGTTAAATCTGAAGATACAGTGAAAACAAAGGTTTTAGAAAAATAAACCAGTCACAGGTGTTCAGTAAGTGGAAGCGGGTAGGCTATTGCATTTTGGAAAAGCAGTACATTATCTCTAAGATAAGGTAATTAAAGGAGGATATTGGTCTCATACTCAATATACTGAAATTCCAGATGCTTGAATAGGGACCTCCTATACTTCAGTGCCTTAGGAATGACACCCCCCTTTCCTTAAAAGCCCCAGTGTGAGAAATGGTGGCTTTATATAGACCTGAGACCTGCCTAGAGCTTTCTAAAGTGAAAATATAAAAATGTCTGTGAAGAGTGATTCAGATATTGAAAATGTCTTTTTAAGAACACTTATTTGAAAATGATACCACTTGAAAAAACAAACTTTTGGTTAAGTAAGCAGGGTAAGGATAAAGGACTTGAACTATTTAGTTGTTTTTTTTTAGCTTTCTTAATTAGTTCCTTAAACTGAATGCAATAAGAAATATTTGGACCCTTAGCCTTTGGGGTTGGCTGACTAAGGATTCCTAAAATAGTTTATTAAGGTAACTGAATCATTATACTACTTTAATTTGTGTTTTAGATTCTTGAACATGATTACATATTACTGGACTCCCATGTAGAAATCTGATGTGTGTCTGACAGTAGGTGAATTGGTTTGGTTTTTCAGTTTATTTTAACTTTAATTAATTTCTATGTATTTCAAATAATTGGCATTCTTATGCATTTTCAATACCAAGTATTAATTCATCTTTTTTTTCCTGTGAAATTCAGATGTACAGTACTGCTTGTGGGAGGTTTATGGAGGTGTGTACCGGATATGTGTGTGAGTTTATCTGTGGGAGAGATTTGATTCAACATTTTATACACAGATAAATGCCTCCCACAGCCTAAAACTTCATCCTCACAGGTGAGAATTTACCCACTAATTAAATCACATCTAAAAGTCATTTTTGGATGAGGAGTCTGAAACAAGCAATTTGAGTGGTTTTAATAAGATCCAAGCTGTCATTATATTGTGTATGTATATTTTCATCTCATCATATACGAGCACATCCCAAGATGAACTGCAAGTATTTAGAAAACCTCTAAAAAATTGATTGAATCTGTGATTTTCATAACAAAGATGCTTCAGTAACCTTCAGTTATCTGTTGTGAGTATAGAACTCATTGGTTTCCCATGATTTACTCTGCTGTGCCTTCCAGTGCATCCTTTTTCAATTAAATAAAAGAGACCCTTAAAGTCTTAAAGTGCAATTCACTTTCAATAAAACAATATTAAAGTTTCTGCATTTATATGTAATTGAAAAATTAAGTATGGGCTGATTTCATTTGAAACATAGTTTCAATAACAGTTTAAGAAAGATTTTGTAATCAACTATTCTTATTTTTCACTGATATGTTTAAAAAAACATACTGTGAATTACAGTAAAGGCTTCAGATGAATGACATGAATGATGTCACAGGGTAACTATAAAATTACTTAATACTTAATTTCCTATAGCTCCCAAATTTTGACATTATGTATTAATTATTCAAGTTTTTATTATCACAGGTGGCTCTACTTCATGTATTACTACTTTAAAGTTAGAAACTTGTGCGTGATCTTGAAAATAACTTCCTTTTCTAGTGTATCCTGCAAGAATCTGTCACGTCTAAGAGCTCTGTAAACCTAAATAAACAAAACCCAGAGTTAATGTCAAATACCACAATTTAGCACAATTTAAATTTGATTAGCTGATACACTCTATACTCTGTATATGATAAATGCTTCCTACAGTATGTAATTGGCAATGCTGTTCCTAGTTACTTTTAATTCCACATTTTTATTATAACAGGTTTACTCTGTACAGGATGTACATGTTGAGGTCCTATTAATTTAATGTTGGTGCCTTCTACTGCCTTTAGATTGAACATTTACAATGAATTCTAGTCTATATCTATACATTTCAGTTTCTTGAAACATTGCATGTTAATAAATGCGATGTCCTATTTTTTTCCCCACCACCGATATAAAGAAAAAAAATGACAGGGGTTCACTGGGCTTCAATTTTCCCTGGATGAGGGAAGTGTAACATTTTAACCCCAGACATAATAACTCACTTGAAGACATGTACAAATTAATTAACAGCTGTCATGGTTCTCAGCCAAGGCAGACAGAATGATTCACCCACAGCGATACCTAAAGTCCTCTGAGGAAACCATGCAGCCCATACAGATATAATGAACAGTCCGAGCCAGCTCATTCACATATCGTAGAGTTTTGGATCTGCTCCAGAACATAGGCAGACTCAAGCCTGTAATTATTTTAATTAACTAGTTTTGTTTGCTCTAATAATTTCCGGTTGCAGTTCAATAACAGGGCAATCATTGCTGGGAGTTTGAGTGTTTCAACCTTTTTTTTTAATAAATACCAGTAGGCAATATGAAACTGAAGAGCATTCATAGAGTGAACAGCTTTGGTTTAAAGGTAGTCAAAGCTCAAGTGACCTGCTTTCAAGGTCTTTTAATTAGACCACTCCAGTAAATATATGATAATCACAATGGACAACATTGTTATTTATATTACACAAAAAAATGCTGTTAAATATAAAATGTGATATCATTGCTATGCAGCAACATTTGCTTACACTTTTTACATGGTAGGTCTGGTTAAATCACTCTATTATAGTGCGAATTATCAAATAACAGAAGTGACTTACTGGCTGGTATAGCATTCCGTCTTGCTAAATGCTTACTAACATAAGTCTCTTGTGTTTTTTGTGATTTGAGCTCCATAAATAGTTTAATGAAATTAATATATAAACAACCAGAAAACCCCAGTAAAGCAACTAATTAAAGCAAACATTTTTTAGCATATGCAAAATTGTCATTTAGGTTATGAACAATCAAGAAATATCCAACGCATTAAGGAATTTAAGGAATTGTATTTTGTGTGTTTTTATAATTAAGATTTTTACATAGTGTTCCAATGCTGTAGACAAAATATAACATTTCAATGAAAATGTCATAATGACAATGTGAAGTATAAAGATCTATTGAGTGTTTAAAATGATATGATTATTTTTTACCTTCCAGGCTGAGATACAGTATCAAGTTAAGCAATTGTGTAGTTTTACGTATATTATCCTCCTGTTATATATTTTTACTTGTTTGGTGTGAAACCAACCACCTTGCAAGTACATCAGTGATGACCACAGGGTCATAGGAAAAATAAAAAGTATTGACAGGGAAAAAACATTTAACAAAAAAATGTCCAATACAACAAGAAAACAAACCTCACACAAACAAGACCCTCCCTGCCCACCGTTGGTGCTAGGTTTGGATACGCTACACTCCTCGCCAGCTCCCCTTGATTGACAGGCAACATCCATTTAAACCAATGGAGGGGCCAGCTCTGTAACCTGACTCAAAATGGAGGCACAACAATCAAGGACTGATTGTGGATCGATATATGCTGTAGGTAAGACAAAAGAGGACCATTGAACAACAAATTACAACCTCAAGAGAGGTCATGGGACGAAGGTGTGAGCTCCCTTTGTCACTGTGGGTGGTAAAAACACTTTGTATTCCAGCATTGTCATACAATCACAGAATATGCAGGTTCAACTCTTACCTGTTTAAGATCTAAGGTGATAGTAACATAGTGGTACTCCATTCCGTTCTGGATGCTGGGACTTTGCCACCATCGGTTTGTGCCATCAATGGCGTATGTTATGGGGTGCCGCTCTGGGACAAGAAAGAATCATTCAAGAAAATTGTACAGCAACATGTACCTTCCAACCACACGACCAAAAGTGATGTCACTAGCTTCAATCTAAAAAATGATCATTGCTTTGCATTTCTTCAAATTGTCCCAGACTCATAGACATTTCTCACTTGAAGACACTTAGAACATTTTTTGCCAACTGTTTTTATTTGCAAAAACAAGAGTGGAACATGGATTCTGCAAAAAATGAGTTTGAATTCCATAGAAAGCCTTTTGTTTTGTTATGCTGGTAAGCAGCTTTGATGCCGGGCTATTTATAGAGGGAATATAGAGAGAATAGAGTGGGTGAAGTTTGGTTGGGGGTTTTGTTTAATGTTTTTTCTCTTGTAAATAAATGTAGCTGTGACTGGGTTTGAATGACTCCACTGTGTCAGCGCTCTCTCAATACCCTAGAGGACAGAACAGAATAGAGCATAGATGAAGTGACCAGTCCCCCAAGCCTTACAACAGGAGTCGTTAAGCATAAAGACTCTTCAACTGTTGTTGGATTTTGGAGAAGGTCAAGTTAATTGCATAGTGGTAAATGTTTTATGAAGTGCCATTTAATTTACAGTAATTACATTCTGATTAGTTTTATTTCAATACACCTTTGTTTTAAACAACACTATTAAAGAAGTCAAATAATAGGATTTATTCAGTTTCTAATAACAAAACCCAGCATACCAAAGTAATGTTTTTTCTGGAAAGTGATTTCCAATTAATGTTTTTTTCTTTTCATTAGATGGCATGTTCATTACACTATTTTTTTCTATGGCACATATTCATGTTCTTCATGTTTTCTAGTACAATCCTAAACTTGAAAAGTGATCTCCATGTAGACATATTTTGTATGAGGATAGCTAATTGTTACACAAATTCAAGATGCATATAAATGTAAAAACACCACAAAAATGGAAGACTGGGAATTTTCACTACAAACTTCATTTTTGTTACATGCCTATTATATTTAGCTATGCATATATATACTCCATAAATCTATTTTGCAGTAACTGGATATTTTAGAAAAACGACTCTCTGATTTAGATTTTGAACTGTAGATTTTATAAGCAGCCTATGTTCTCTGTGACTGTAATTAAACACAGCCCTCTGAATACCCTAAAAGTGTCCTACTTAAATGCTTTTTGCAAAAATTGAATGAGATGTAGATTCTTTGTTTGACTTTTGCAAGTCTATATGTAATTTCATTGTCGACATGTACAGTATCTAAATGTTTTATAAAAATGATTTAAAAACTATTTTAAAAAATGATCATTTATTTCTATCTGATACAGTATGCACAGTCTTTAGCCAAGGGTAAGGCTAAATCTAACATGAGGTTTAATCAGTATTTCAAAAGCAATAGTACTAAAAGTAATAGAACTATAAAACTTAGTTCAGCATGAAAATAAAAGAGTACATGCAGTACAGCATTTGATAGAAACAAATCAAAAACTGAAGACTTGTATGACTTTCAATATTGTATTATAGATTGAGCACCTGCCAAAAACAGTTTAATATACAGTGCCATCCAGGTTATTAATCATTATCCAAAGAAATAAAAAAACGCATGGATGTGAACATCACATGGAGCAGAAAGGATTGGATAATGTGTCATACTGTAATCTTCATAGTATTGCTTGAAGCAAAGTCATGATGAGGCTAAGGTCCATAAAAATGTGTTAGGGTCACATTTATTCATACCCCTGTTATTAGCATGTAGTAAATCCTCCTTTGAAAGGGATTACAGTAAAAAGAGGACTTCTGTAGTGTACTGTTTGAAGTTCCAACATTTCTGATGGGAATTCCTCCAGGTCCTTCAATCTCTTTGGTTTCTGTCATGAACGTCTTTTGTCTTTCTTGAGCAGTTCTGTTTTCAAGCCTCATTTGGCTTTCAAAACAAAAATGTTCAATTGTGTTGAGGTCTAGAGATTGATATGACCAGACAAGAGTATTTATTTTCTTTGTAATTAACCATTTGTCAGTTTTGTTAATCATGCTGGCAAGCCTATTTTCCACCAACTTTGAGCTTCCTGGTAGAGGAACAAGGTTTTCATTTATAATGTCCTACTACCAGCTGGCAATAATGATTCCACCTTTCTAAACAATGGCTTTAGGACCTGTAGATGCAATACAACCCTAAAACATAAATGACTCTCTATTATATTTCATTCAGTGGTCATTAATATTTTCTCAACATTGACTAAACTGATTTAATGTTAAAAAAGACAATTTCTTGTTTAATCCATAATTATGGTTCCAATTGTTATTCAGATTTACTGTAGTTTGATCAAGTGGCCTGTGTTTTTGGTTTGCTTGACAAGAGACTTTTTCCTTGGAAACTCACCATGAATGCCCCATTTACATGGGCAATGTTGAACTGTCGTTTTCAATACTTTGTACCCGAAGATACTAGTTTGTCTTGGAAATCTCCAACAGCTGCTTGGAACACTTGTCTCACAACCTGTGATAGCGAGATGCACTTGTCTCCTCTTTCTGGAAAGCTTGACACTATGCAACCTTTTGTTTACATTTCTTAATACTGGAGCCTACATTGGAAAGTGGTAGATTCACTTTTTACGGATTATTTCAGATTTATCCCCCAATATGTAGAGGTCAATGACCATTTGCCTCCAGTCTTCAGAGTCTTTTCTGACCATAAACTTGATGATGAATGCTACTCCTGAATGTCTGCTGTGTTATATCCCTTCACGAACTTATGAAGAGCAAAGTGTTATTTCTTGTTTGTACAGTATGTTCGCCTTGTGTTTGAGACAGTTTCCTCCAGATGCTTCAGTTTCCTCCCCCCAGTCTAAATACATACTAGTAGGTTAATTGGCTTTGGAATTGCCCTGGTGTGAGTGTATGTATGTTTGTCTGTGTGTGCCCTGTAATGCAAACTTGCACCTTGTCCACAGTGCATCCCAACTTGTGCCTGCTGATTGCCGGGATAGGCACTGGGTCCTCCTTGACCATGTATTGTATAAAACAGTTAGAAAATAGATGGATGTATTTTGTTTAGAGGAAGACACAGAGGTCGAGAATCCATTTTACCTTCATGTTTTCTGAAATACAATTATTGATGATACAGTGACTTTAGTCTGTGCAATGTTATTACAGTTGTGATATTTATAGACCACATTAATTTTCAACTCATTCTGTCATATGACTTTTTGATCCCTATTTAGACAGGGGTATGAAAAAATCTGGACGGCACTGTATTTCTAAATGCAAGAAGTTAAAATCTATTTATATCATTGAGTGGCACTGTAAATAATCTTGTAGCAACACACCTCCAAAATAAAGACTTTTAAAGTTATAATCTTTAATTTTCATGAATTCTTCAATGATTGCATAGTAATTCAATCTCTGTTTTTATTTTCTGTCATCAAGTGGTCTCAACATGTGAATTTCAGTTAGGTGGTAGACAAAACAGCAGCTCAAATAGCTCAAACTTAAATGTGTGGCACTAACATTATGTAAATGCTACATATTTTGGTAAGAAGAAGTAAATTATACTGTAAGTATGACTACTTATTACAGAGAGAAAAGCTTAGACACGAATTGGAGGATTTACTTTGAAAGGAGTCAGCCAAATTAACCACAAAATAAAGCGATTTTGAAATGGTGTGAGTGCAACATTTCTGCAGCTGGAGAAGGCTCATTTCATTGATGGCTGTCAGTATTTAATCTGCAAAGATAAGTTAATAGAAATTTCCTCTTGTAAACTGCATGACCTCTAATTAGGAAGGTTGATAAAAGCATTGGAGGAAATTAAGGATAATCAAGGAGAATGAAGAAGGACAGAGAATGGACTAGGATGGTAATTGTCAATGTCTTAAAGACCTTTTGTCATTAACTAGGAGGATAAAGCAAGGTATAACAGATGTGAAATCACCTCAAGGTGGACTCATGCAGACCAAGGAGATATACATCCAATTGCAACAATCACAAGGAGAGGCCATTAATCATTAGAAGCAAAGATCAAAACCATACAGTATGTGATATGATTAATTAAAACAGCAATACTGTGAGAAAAGGAAAGGAAATAAGAATGAACAAACTGGTGTCAGAATTGACTTTCTGAAGAGAAACTAGAATGTTTGGACAGATTGGAAAAGGACTAAAGGAGATCCACAAAATTTAAGCAGAACACTTTAAGGGACAAAACCATTGAGGTAGTAGTATTTTAGCCAAAAGATGGATTGGAGATCAAAAGTGGACCAACCCTCCCTACATTAGAAACCATTCTCTAAGGACACTACAAGAAAGACTATCCATTAAAATTGTACAACAAGTTGACAATTATCTCTCAAGAGCCTAAAGACTCCAATCAAAATGTTTTATTCAGGCCAAGTGATCAAGACAAACAGCAATGGAAATCAACAAACAAATATGTACAGGAACAGTAAAGAATTCAGTGTAAATGTCTCCACTTAAATGCAATAACACTATTGAATGGTGCCATAGGAGTTCAGATAAACTCCTACTAGAACGACATCACAGTAACAGATGAGGTGTTAATTCTAAAAGTGAATCTTGAAAAAGACAGTTACCCCCTAAAGGAGTCCACAAATTAGGCCATCTTGTTACCAGTATACTACTGAGATAGTGGACTAAGTTAAATGTGGAAAAAAATGTGTTTTACACTAGAAAACATGTGAACAAGATCAGCTAATTCTACTCCCAAAATGCCACCCACTCATGTTTTAGGGTGGGCTACATCAGGATATGGGACAGATTATGTTTGAAGGACACTTAACCTCATCAAGGACAGATTTTAGTGGCTTTGAATGCAAAAGGATGCTTTGTGAATGCCTCAAGCAAAAGAAAACCAACAAACCAAAGCCGAGAAAGCTCCATTGTCTACCATTAGAACAACTTACTCATTTGAAATAATGTCTGTTGTTTTATGCAATTGGTGTCTTGCAAGCACATACACCATATAAAAAGCTTCTAAAACTGTACCCAAGGAGATACTTGGAAACTTTGCTTTCAGATTCATGTTTTCAAGAAAGATCCACAACGACATGGGGAAGGAATCTGAGAACTAGACATTTTACAAAAACTGAAAGAAATCAGTGGGTCTATGTCACACAACACCCTATCATCCCTTAGACCAATTCCCCTCCCAACTGCAAGATAGTGTGTGCCAGGTATTTGAGGAACAAACTAATTGTCACGCCCTCTGCAGCCATCTTTTAGATAGATTTAAAATATATTACAGTTCAAGAAGAATATGAATATACTGTATGTGTAGTCTATTGTATAATTTTACTCCAGACCTCCAGAAACAGATAAAAAAAGCTCTTAACATTTAAAATTAATCTGATATATTTTATATTCCAAGTAAATGTATTCTACTTCAAACTTTCTTTCACTGGAGCTAGCTAAACTTTGGGCTTGACCTCATTATGTGCCTAAAGCTACCTCACTTTGTTCAAGACATGTTTGCAGGCTAAGGATTTCATTTTAATAATAATGTTAGAGCTTCAATGAGCTCCTTTTCATTGTTAATAGGTTACTAGAATATCACCATGATGAGTCTTGGAATGACTTGATTACTTATAAATCATGTTATAATGAGAAAAGCATTGCAAATGCAAATTTGAATCCTTCATGTTAATGTACTGTAAATATGTGATCCCACACTTACAACTTCCTGGCAGCTATATGTCCTACAGAAAAGACACTTAATTTCAAAATTACTTTGAAGCAGGGGTCATAACATCAGTTGAGAATGATGCATTCAAGATTTCTTGGGAATGTAATGAGATTCCTTCATTGACATTGACACTCACATTCAGCATTAAGAACATAAAGCAAATAAATGTGTCCATACTATAAAAGTCTCCTGACCCATAGTTTGAAGTTATACTAAAGCTAAGGACAAAGTACAGTATATGGAAATATATATTTAATATATATTTATTAAATTATTAATATAAAAGGCTATATGGTATCCTTGCCTTTTACATGATAAAAGAACACCACAGCATTTCCTGATCTCTTCAGGTGGACCATTTTTAATTTAAGCGCACTGTTCAAAGACATGCATATACTAATTTTCTTACTTAGTTCGTGTATATATGTAATGTATTTCATTGTTAAATAGTACCATCCTAATCATAACACCGGATAGCAAAATTGAGTATGGAAACACAGGTCACTTTCACATCTTACATAAGAATAAAAGAAGGGATACAAGCAAAAGGAGACCATTTAATCCATCAATCCCATTTAAAAGTTAAAGTGCAATTGATTCACCCCTTTCAATTATGATCTATTTTGTTGAATAACATTTAAAAAAATAGTATTTTAATTAAAACTTTAGCGCTCATGCTGAACACTTTTATGGGTTCATGGTGTCACGACTGTAGTCCCTCCCCCTTAAGGGCGCTCCGGCTCTTTCACTTCGGACTTGATTCTGTGCACCTGTCCCCTGTTCCCAGTCCACCTTAAAACCCAGGCGCTGACGTTAATCCGGGCTCTGCAACTGATTTCCGTATCGTGTGAGTCCGGGACCTGGAAGCACCTGGTCCTGTTAAGGTTTTATTCTCTGTTCCCGTTCCCCCTCCGCCGGGTCCGACCCGGTTCCAGTTTTTATCTTGTCTGTTCTTGGATGGACCCCTTGGCTTTGGACTTTGCTCTTGTTTGGATTCCCCTTTGGATTTCTACTGGATTGTTTGCCCCGGACTCACGCCCTGGACACCTGCGCACTTTGGACACGCCCCCCTGTTTTCATCCCCGTATTCCTGCATGACTTTTTCCTAGTGTTTCCTCACTCCATCCTCACTCCATGTTGTGTCGTCCACATAGGGTCTGGAAAGAACTGTTCGTTACACATGGTGCATGCCTTCATTTGTTTTTCTGTCTTTTGTTGGTCTACTATTCTAAACACTGTAAATAGATGGTTGATTTTTTGGGGGCGGGGTTCTTCTTATATGGTACTTTTCTACATATTTTTTTCAGTACACCTGTCATTTGGGCCATGATTCCTGTAAGTGGGTTTCAAACCATTTTACATCACACATCTATTGGTCTCAGAGCTTACCTGACCACACAGCAACTGCTATTTGCTAACTTCTGTTCTAAGTTCTGAATGCACTTCCCCTTAGTCTCCACATTCAAGCTCAGAGAATAATAAGTTGTTTTCATCAGTCAATTGGATCAGAGTCAAAACATCACTATAAACTACACAGTGTGGCTCCACTGTAGAACATCGTAACTTCAGCACAACTCTGAAGGTCTGAACCACAAAGTGAACACAAGTACCAAACATAGCCTGATTAAAGTGCGGCTCCCAAATACTGGAGATACTGTATGAACTCTCTTTAGAATCAGGAAGAGTGGTGTAATAATAGTAGGTCAGTTATACTTTACGAGCCCTATTACAGTTTTATGGGATCACCAGGTCAAATGTGAAGGTGGAATTGTTGAACTCACAAAACAAAAATGCTTCCCTTATGCTTCTGTTTTGTGTGTTTCCAAAATTTTTTCAAAAAGACAAGGACTGGACAGTATAAAAAATGTTACTTATTTTATCTTTTGTACAGGCTGTAAAACATCATTATAATTGGTTTTCTCTGGCCAAAGCATTTATGCCCAGATCTCATTTGTTCCAATTTTATGTTCTTTTGCTAATGCATCTGAATCATTCAATTAGTCATGTTTCAAACTTTTCCATCTAACAAGGGAATTCCAGTTGCTTCCTGTATAGTTTGTCAAGTGTTTTGTAATTGTAACCTCAGAGACCTTTTGTAAAGAACAAAGAAATATCTGACTCTTTTCCCTTTTTTGTTTATTCTTTTGACATATTAATACAGTTCAACAATGTGTTTTTACTAAAGGTGAACATACACCTCATTCACATTGCTGGCAAAAGATGTTCTATGATCTCTATATCAAAGTTTGGTAACCTTTCTGTAAAAAATAATAAATTATATTTACTGTATATGGCACCTTTCAAGACAAAAACACCTTCCAAAAGCACTCTAATTTAATACCAATCATATTTGTACAATATGGAAAATAAAAAGTGAACAGAAGAAAATGGGTAAAAATATTAGACAGAAATTATAAAATTATACAATGTATACCCCACAGATATTAGACAATTTCATACATATGGGCATGCAAAGTATAAAAAACAAAGTATATAGTGCCCTGCAAAAGTTTTCACACCCTTCCTATGGTGTTCCATTTTGAGAAATTACAAAATAAAACCAGAATGCTCAAATTAAAGACTTTTAAGACTAAGATAATTCACAGTAAACATCAACCAAACAGAGAAAAAATGAAATATTTATTCCATATGTTTAAATATATGAAGTCAACATTTTGGTGGAAGAACGTTAGGCAGCAATTACCACCTTTGCACACGTTTGGTGCAATTTATGCCCATTCATCTTGGCAGATGTGCCCAAGCTTTCACTTATGCACAACAGTTTTCAACCCACATATTCACAGTAGTATTCAAGACCGGACCATCCCTGTGAGCTTCGGATCAAGGTGAATTGATACTGTTTTGAGTTTTTAGTAACTCGAGAGAAGTTTTCCTCTTCTATCTACACTTACTTTGTGATTTATTTTATATCAATCATATCAAGCTTTCCAGTTCCTGCTGAGGTGAAGCACCACCATAGCATGATACTGCCACCAGCATGCTTGACTGCAGGGATAGGGATGGTGCTGACTGGGGGATGTGCCGTGTTGGTTGTGCACTAGACATAAGGCTTGGCAGTTAGACCAAAAGTGCCAATTGGGTGTCCACATTTTTGCAGGACCACTCATGTTTTGCTGCAGGATATACCTGTAAGAAGGTTTTTCCACTCTACCACACGGGTCATCTTTATGATATGACTGTTGAAGGATGCCCATTTTCTCTCAATTCAGGCATTAAACTCTGTAGCTCTCTCAAAGTTGCTGTTGGTGTCATAGTGGCATCTCTAATCTGTTTTCCCCTAGACTGTCTGCTCAGTTTGGGTGGACAGCCTGAGATGGTGTATTGGTAATACAATCCACCTTCCATTTTTTGATGATTGAGTAGACTGTTCTCACAGGGATATTCGGGGAATTATTTTTTTTCTGTACTTTTCTTGATCTGTGATTTTCAATGACTGTAACTCATTTTTACAATTTGTAATTCTATCTGACCAAGGCATCTTACAATACTGTTTTTTATTTTGAATCAATGAGAACCAATATTATTGCAAACAGTCAAAGGTCACTTAACTATGTGGCTTCTGAATGTAATTTTGTGCACCTCAATTAATTAAGGTTTGCCACAGCAAAGGGTTTGAGTACATACTGTAGGCAATCATGATTTTTCTGTTTTTCTTTTATGTTAATTATCTATTTACCCTGTTAGTTTTGTCTTCTACTTTGTGTGTGTGGAATACTTTGTGTATTAAAAAAATAATTGCTACTTCAAATTGTCAGTTTGTATAAAACAACAAAATGTAAAAATTGTCAGGGCACTGTAAACCCAGATCTCACCCAAGACTAATAGTCTATCCCTAAATCTGACAAACAGAATGTCCATGGAGGATTTTTAGTCTATGAAATACATGGCAATTACACAACATTTATCACCATAAACTGTAGTTTTGTTCTTTAAGAAATACATGAGTAAATATCACATTGCATTAAATTGCATGACAGGAATGAGAAGTAGAACCACATACCATATGGTCTGTTGCTGGCTAAGTTACAGACACGGCACTGGGGATTTCTCACTGGCTGCCCGGGGACATGCTCCACCAACTTGCAGTACATTTCAGGACCTCTTTCACCACATGTGGCATTAGTGCTGATCTCAGCCATTGAGGCAAGATTCAGCACTGCAGGAAACAGACCTAGGAAAGAAAAGACAAAAAACAAAATGGACTTACTTACATACAAAGACTCAAAGAAAGTGATCTCGTTTTTTTTTTCTTTATTGGCTGGTTTTACAGACCAATAATGGCTGAACTCCTGGGCTTTACTGAAGACAGGCACAGCTAAATTCCTCCCTTTTTCAGTGGATCTGCAGGAGTTACAGTCAAGCACATTGTGCCCAATCTACAACATCTGACAGGATTGGAAAAGAGCTTTTGAGTTTTTCCCTAAATTACATTTCATTTTTCCAAAATTACTTGTCTAATGAATAATTAGTTCTACTGGGCAATGAAACCTGTAGAGCCCCAACTCACAGATTTAATGTCCTTTGACAGCAGTCGTTTGGAAAGAAAAAAGAAAGAAAGAGAAACTTAGTCCAATTAATAATTTTTACATTTTCTAAAATTTAAAACGTATTTATTTAAAAACCAATTTTTTTCTCAGCGCGAAAAGGTAACACTTTGAACAACATTTTATATTCCAAACATCAAGATAAAATGTTTGGGTTAATGAAAATACAATGGGAACAATGTAAGACACAATAATGGATCGTTTGGCTTTCGTACAAACAAAGCTGATGTAATGGAATAAAAAAGGATTACATTTCGGTGATTTTTTAAATCAAATTTGAAGAAAGAACAAGTGAAATACCCTTTAATCTTTCAAAATGTAATTCATTGGATAAACACCTTGTAGTTGTATGAAATTAAATTTAACTTTTTTGAAACAAATAAAAAGCATCTTTTTAGTGTTCTTGTTGCTAGATTTACGTTTGAAAAAGAACACTTTGAAACATGTCTGGTGAATTCCCAAGTTGTTAGTGTGTGGGAATACCAAGGCTGAATCAAAGAATTACAATACTGCTTCAAAATGATTCCCAGCTGTTCTTTGCAGGCAATAAAGCAACAGTCCAGATGCTGAAGGCAAATGAACTGTGAAGAACATCAGAAAAAGTCAAACTATGAAAATAAGCTTTTATAGAAAAGCATGAAGCCAAAATACGAAACGTTCATTTGCAATGAAAAGATTCTGTCTCACGTCTGATGAAGATGTAAGTGACAGAAAATCACTCCATTGTAAAAGCTAAGAGTCACAAGGGAAATTCACTGGCAGCATGTCAGTTTTTAATATTGAAGGTTGAGCTCTGAAAGACCCCCTAGCATATCAGACATTACAAGGGACAGCAATTTCGGTCTGATATATGTGTCAAGATGTTGTGCCATAGCAACAGTGTTGAAGACTGTAAAGGAGCATGCTGCATTTTTTAACATCAGATTATGATGCGTGTTTTCCAAAAACAATGATTTGTTCTATTTTAAACTTTATTTTTGCATGAATTTATGTGGAAATAAAAAGGAAGATCTGTTTACAAAAGTTGTTATAATGATTTACATTGATACCGCAATATATTTATACAGCAATAAATCTATGTTTCCCCTAAAACAAAGATCTATTCGTATATAATGTTATTACTAAAACTGTCAAGGATATTACAGTCTATGAACAGTTTTATGTGAGGTCACCTGAACTGCCATTAGTGTCTCATCATCATCTCTGAAGTTCCTTCCTTGGAAAATTTCCTTCACAGGGCCAGACAGATGCCAGTCTCGTTATAGTGTGAGACATGGACTGGAAGGTAGGGCACGAAGCAGATCGAAACTGAACTTTTCAATTGACTGAGCTGTGGCCGTCAACTTGTCTTGATGTGCTTTGTCAACTGCAAGTAGTGTACATTGCTTGCTTCAAAGTCATGTGTAGAAGTGTGGAGCATGAGACACTTTCTTGCGTTTGTTTGCTACTTTTTCACAGTCTCTATTAATGTGGTTTAAAAAACTCTTTAGTTCAAGGGTAACCACATCATTACTTTCTTGAACTATGAACTGTTTTAGTATTAGTGACAATTGGTGTTCCCATTTACTCTCGGGTTTGCAAGGATAAACAAATGTTTGTCTGTAGTTAGTTACATGAAAAGATAGTTTTGCAAGTGCCAGTTAACTTTGTTCATTGATCATTTTTGTCACTCACTTAAACAGAAGAGCAATGACCCATTATTGCAGTGGGATAGACATCTTTACAGCTCTACTAATAGGCTGAACATGGAGGGACCTGGGTTCAATTTAATCAACAAACAACTTACATTTCTCACTTAAAGTTCACATGAAAAGCAACAGTATTATACACATGGCCTACTGAATATGGTAAAAATCACCTCATTTATTTACTT